TTTGTAGGACATCTATCCAGGACCTTCTGGCTTTCAAATTTTTCATTGAGAAATCGGGTGTAATTCTCATAGGTCTGCCTTTATATGTTACTTGGCCTTTTTCCTTTCCTGATCTTAATACTCTTTCTTTATTCTGTATGTTTGGTGTTTTGATTATTATGTGACGGGTGGACTTTATTTTTTGGTCCAGTCTATTTGGTGTTCCATAAGCTTCTTGTACTTTCATAGGCTTATCCTTCTTCAGATTGGGAAAGTTTTATTCTATGATTTTGTTGAAAGTTTTATGCACCTTTGAGCTGGGCTTCTTCACCTTCTTTGTTTGGTCTTTTCAGGATGTCACGTATTTCCTGGATATTTTGTGGGAGGGATTTTTTGGACCTGAGATCTTCTTTGGTTGATGACTGTATATCCTCTAGCGAGTCTTCAACCTCTGAGATTCTCTCTTCCATCTCTTGTATTCTATTGTTTATACTTACATCCTTAGTTCCTGCTTATTTATCCAGCCTTTCTATTTCCAGTATCCCCTCATTCTGTGTTTTCTTTATTGTTTCTATTTCAGCTTTCATGCCTTGAACTGTTTTGATTGTTTCCTTCACTTGTTTGGTTGCTTTTTCTTGGCTTTCTTTAGATTCTTTAAGAGAATTGTTTATTTCTTGAATTTTTTGTTTGTTTTTTCTTCTATTTCTTTAAGAGATTTTCTTGTTTCCTCGTTAAGGGTCTCTATCATCTACATAAAGTAGTTTTTAAGGTCTGGCTCTTCTTTTTTCCTCTGTGTTGTGCTTTTTAGAACTTGCTGGTGTGGAGTTCCTAGATTCTGGTGGCGTCATATTGGTCTTTCTGTTGTTGAGTGTGTTCTTATTCTGTCTTCATCCCAGCTCTTCTTCCAGTGGGTGCAGGTGGGGTCTCTCTATCTCCTCTTGTTAAGCGGTGATATATGCGGGCCAAGACTTCCATGTCTGCAGTTCTGGATGGTCTTGCCTCTCCTGGTATTCTCCTCACTCAACAGACTTCAGGACAGAAGGGGAACCAAGCTTGAGGTGTTTCTGAACTCAGTGAGGTCCTCCCTGTCTGTGGGTGTCCACTCTATGCCAAGAGCAGGCCCAGAAAGATGAAAGGAAGGGGTGATGGCGGGAGTTGGGTAGGAACAGAGGGGATACTCACCTCAGCAGAGGTTAGGACAGAGGGGTAACAAAGAGTGAGGTGTTTCCTGACTCAGGGAGATCCTCCCTGTCTGGGCGGGTACACTCTATGCCAGTAGTAGGCCCAGAAAGATCAAAGGAAGGTGTGATGGTAGGAGATGGGCAGGAGCAGAGGGAACACTCACCTCAGCAGAGGTCAGGGCCTATATGACCTCTTTTCAAGCTGAGCTTTTGTATTCTCACTATAGTTTGTGAAATAAATGTAACCCTGCGCATCTGTCCTTTTAAAATCTTTTTTATGAAGATGAAGTATCTCTCACCTCTTTGCATATGCTACTTATGGAACAACAGAGGGAGAGGAGGATAATATGGGAGGAAAAGAAGGAAAAAACCATCTTTCTTCACATGGGAATTGTTGTCAGCTTCTTCATCCTCCAAAAGTACCAACTAGATACCTGGCAAAGAAAAACACATATGTCCCTGCAAGACAAAATCCCCTCAGTAGTTTCCCATTGCCTTCACTGAGGCCTGTGATCTGACAGAGTTTGTTTTCCACCCTTTTCTCTGGCCTTATTTTTTCATGGTTGTTTTTTTTTTTTTTTTTACTTTTATTTAAATTTGAAACAATCTTGTTTTATATGTCAATCCCAGTTCCCTCACGCTTCCCTCCTCCCCTGCCCCCCACGAATCCCCTCTCTCATCTATTTCTGCTCCCCAGGGAGGGTGAGGCCTTCCATGGGGGATCTTCTGAGTCTGTCACATCATTTTGAGCAGGGCCTAGGCCCGCCATCATGTGTCTAGGCTGAGAGAGTATCCCTCTATGTGGAATGGGCTCCCAAAGTCAATTCATACACTAAGGATAAATATTGATCTCTGGGCTTATTTTTTAAGCACTTCTGTCACATTGCTGGCACCCTTGTTTCTATATTTTGTATTAGTGTCACCCATACAACTGCATAACTTCTCTTCCTAAAAAACATGTAACTTCCCTTCAATACTCAGCCCTGCTCTTCCTCCTCTAAGATTCCTTCCTTGGTACACTGGGTCAGAATGTTCAAGGTTGGGGAACCCCTGTCATATCACTCATTAGAGGGGCTTGAATCACTTATTCATTTATTCCCCTACAACTAGTCCTTGAGCTCTTTAAGCCAATGAGGTGGCTTTCATCTCAAAAGCCATAAGTGCTAAGCACAGTGCCAGGTGGTTTGTATCCATTTATCTTGCCAATAAAAAATGATTCCTCACTTTCTTTTTCTTTCTTGTTCATCCAAGAAGAGTCCAGGGCAAGTACAGAAGGGCATGGTGGAATTCAATTTAAGCAAAAATGAGATTTCAACCTTTTAATCTTTCAGGTAATAGAGTGAGAATCCAGACTTAGCTACCCATTGTCATTCTTTCACAAAGAATACATAGTGAAGATGGCTGTAACTAAAAGCTATCAATGAGATGGTTTTCATTTATCCTCAAATAAAATGAAAAGTAAAATAGATACAAATGATCTGTCATAAGTATGAACAAAATTTCTCCATGACAATCTCACAGTAATATATGCCCTGGGTGTTCTGGGACACAGTAGTTGGAGATATTAGAATTCTGAGTGGTTTGCTTTTTTTGTTCTGCCACAAAGACACCAGGCATTGTTCTTCAGCCATGGCCATTTTAAATGCTCACACTGATAATGAAGAATAGCTTTACCAGAATGTGGGAACCATGAGATCAATGAAAGATTTCTATAGACTTCTAATGCCTTTTAACTGGGAGGATTCAAATACATATTTAGTCAGAAGAAGTCTCTCCTGGGTCCTTTCAGGTTGAAACTCCTTCATCACTGGGTGCCAAATACTCTCAAACTAATGAAGAGTTCTTTCTACAACTTTCACTTTATATTTCTGTGATCACAAAATTGGCCAGATAAAACATGCCCATTTACCATGAGCTTTTTCATTCTCTGAGTTATGCCAGCAGCCCATATGTGTGCATGTTTTAAGAAATCTAAAGGTAGATATCTCGTTAGAAATACCTTCATACTTGTTCTTCTTTTATGGCACCAAGGGAATTGTCAATTGATTAATCTATATATGATTTTAATGGTTTGGTTCCCTGCTTCTCTGAAGTAGAAAACTGCTTTAGAGTGTAAGATAGCTGAGACTTCATTACTTGTTGCGAAATAGAATTTAAGTAGTAGAGTCCCACTGGGGTGTGCTCACATGAGTGATTGCCAGTACATGCAATCTACCACAACAAATGGTTTCATTGCCTTCAGTGACAGTAGCGTCTTCAAATATGATTCACACTTACCACTAATGAAAATTAGAGCATATTTCATACTTTCTGATTTTTCTATATCCCTTCTGTGGCAACTTGACTTCTTAGCAAGACTTCTTTTACATTTGTAAATTATGGAATAAAACATGTGGCAGGTAATTCATGAATGTGTTTCTCTGGGATGCTAGACCTGTGTCACTGGCATCTCAAAATACCTACTAGGCTACACCCCACATTTCAATTTAACTACTTTTCATTTTAAATATGCTGAAATAACTACTAAAAGTTTATTCCAAGGCATTGGTTTAGTCTCCCGATAATACCACATCTTTACTCGTAAGATTCGTTGTGTATTACATGTACTGTTTGCAAGTCTTGTAATGCAACAAAGATTGGTTTCCCAACTTTTTTCTAAGGGTTAAATTAGTAGCCTGCTCAGGGTCACTACTATTGGTTAATTGGGTAAAGATTCAAATGCATGTCTATCTGACACCAAAGTCTGAGCTTTTATTCTGAAACAAGGTCATCATTAAGTATTTGTGTTAGCTCTTATTATCTCCTCTTCCTGCTCAAGAAAAACAGATGCTGTGACAAAGCATTTTCCTGTGTAGTCAATGTCAAAATGTATACTGAAAGCGCTTAAGTTCACAGGGATAGAAATCATGTAGCATTTATTTAGTCATGTTCCTTGCTTTGACTTCTAGCAGATTCTTTTTCTAGAATCAGAGCCAGTTGTTTTGTTCTAATGATGATGGAAGGTAGCCTAAGGCTGTCCTGGGAACAGCAAGTTTATTTATCATCCTTTTCTTTGTTCTGTGGATAATATCCAACATGCATCTCTGATTGGCCCCAGGAGGAGAGCTATGCTAATTTTCAACTCTACAAGGAAAAACATTGTACAAAAGTTGGCTATTCCCTAAAGTTATAAATGCAATTCTAAGCAATTATAAAAGAATATACATATTTATTAAAACTCATTTCTATACCAAAAATTTCATCAAACAGATTTCATAACAATCAAAACTTGTAAACAGTAGAACTGAATGTCCAAGATGTTCAGAACGTCCATAAGTTGGAAATATATAATAGCTATGAGTGATAATTTTAACAGTCAATTAAAATATTTGGAGTACAATCAATTGTCAAGCACCTTGCCAGTACTAGAACCTGAAGGTGAGATCTCATTAGTTCAAAGAAATAGAACATTTCCTGAAAGTCTATATTATTCTTGAAGAAAGACAAAGCCTTTGTTTTTAAAGGTAGGAATCCCCAGGGCAGAGCATACCAATCGGTTTTCCAATACCAAATGGTCAGACCTGAAAACATACATACAAGTAACATTATACAAACTGAGCAAGTTACATATATATGTATGTAAAAACAATGAATGAAAACAGAGGCTATGAATTTTAAAGAGAGGAAGGGCATACAAGAAGGTTTGGAGGGAGGAAATAGAAAAAGGAAGTGATGTAATTATAATCAAAAAAGAAATATTTAATAGGACTTTTTATTTAGACAGAAAAGCAAGGATCAGCACTGGTTCTTGACTTTGACATTGCCTCTTTCTTACTTTCTACCTTTGGTCCTCTTTACCAGGTTTTTAGCCAACACCACTTTCAGAGGTCTCAGTGGTTCCATCAAAGTAAAAGGTTCTACCATCATCAGCTCAGAAAACAACTTTTTCATCTGGAATTTGCAGCATGACCCTATGGGAAAGCCAATGTGGACTCGCCTGGGCAGCTGGCAAGGGGGAAGGATTGTCATGGACTCTGGAATATGGCCAGAGCAGGCCCAGAGGCACAAAACCCACTACCCGCACCCACATAAGTTACACTTAAGAGTGGTGACCTTGATTGAACACCCATTCGTTTTCACAAGAGAAGTAGATGATGAAGGCTTATGCCCTGCTGGACAACTCTGTCTAGACCCTATGACTAATGACTCTTCAATATTGGACAGTCTGTTTAACAGCCTCCATAGCAGCAATGATACAGTGCCAATCCAATTCAAGAAGTGCTGTTATGGGTATTGCATTGATCTGCTGGAACAGTTAGCAGAAGACATGAACTTTGACTTTGACCTCTACATTGTAGGGGATGGAAAGTATGGAGCTTGGAAAAATGGTCATTGGACTGGGCTGGTTGGTGATCTCCTGAGTGGAACTGCCAACATGGCAGTCACTTCTTTTAGCATCAATACTGCACGAAGCCAGGTGATAGATTTCACCAGCCCTTTCTTCTCAACCAGTTTGGGCATCTTAGTAAGGACTCGAGACACAGCAGCTCCAATTGGAGCCTTCATGTGGCCACTTCACTGGACCATGTGGCTGGGGATTTTCGTGGCCCTGCATATCACTGCCATCTTTCTCACTCTGTATGAATGGAAGAGCCCCTTTGGTATGACTCCTAAGGGGCGGAATAGAAACAAAGTCTTCTCCTTCTCCTCTGCCTTGAACGTCTGCTATGCCCTTCTGTTTGGCAGAACAGCTGCCATCAAACCTCCAAAATGCTGGACCGGAAGATTTCTGATGAATCTTTGGGCCATTTTCTGTATGTTTTGCCTTTCTACATACACGGCAAATTTGGCTGCTGTCATGGTAGGTGAGAAGATCTATGAAGAGCTTTCTGGAATTCATGACCCTAAGGTAATTGTTTCCTTTACTCCAGATTTCCTTGTTGCCATAACTTCGTGTGTTTTGTCTCCTTCTTTTGATCCAAGACTATTTTCTAAGTTGGTTCAGTCAGTAAAGTAAGTACAGCACAAGATAAAAAACATTTTGTCCATAGAGCTCACATAAAAAGCTTAGAGGGAGAGTTGGCATCTGCTTCTAATCTCAGCACTGCTGAGGGGAGGCATGTGGATTGTTGGCCAGTGAGTTCAGTGTGTCAGGCTTGTGAAAGACCTATGTCTAAACACAAGATTGATGACATCCTGACCAGTAACCTTCAAGGTCAACTGCTTGCATCCACATGTACACACACATAGATGCACACACACACATACACACACAGAGAGAGACAAAGACAGAGACAGAGATAAGAGAGACAGAGAGACAGAGACACAGAATTCACCTACATAAATGTGTTCACATGAGCAGGCACACACCAATATTATTTCTACCAACTGCATAGACCAGTTTAAAAGGTTTTACCAAGTTAAACTTAATGGATTGTATTTGTTGTTATCTCAAAATGAGGAGCATGTAGGTATTTGTTTTAGAGACGATATTGTTTGTGCAAACATCTGTTAGTGTATCTTTTCTTGGTTGTTTAACCATCTGACAGAATGGCTATTAGGGAGTAGTTCTGCAGCACAATAATTTATAGCTTTTTACCCACAGAAATCCTAATGTCCTGATTAATTACTTTTAGGGGAACTTAATAGAAATAAATAAGAGAGACAATATTTTAAATAGCAAACCATTTATTTTATTGTTAAAATACCCCAAAAATGGAAAGAGCTGACATATTATATTAAGCACACTGAGGTCAGCTGTGAGGAACCTTGTGAGAATCTGAAGAAGGAATTCTGAACTGAGGTAGCAAGATTAGCTAGGGGAAGGGTGTCCTTACAGAATAAGGAAAACTGTAAGTCAACCACTTTTGGTTAAGGAAGGGTCCTTACAGTGTCAGTAGAATGTCCATGGGCATTTGAAAATAAAATTATCTATCTTGGATGCCTCAGCCATCCAACTACATGGGTAGAAGGAAATGGGGAGGGAAAATACACACAAATCAAGATGTGATAATTAATTATTTTCAGCTTGACTCAGCCTGGAATGACCCAGGGTGTGTGATTCCAAAGAGGTTTAACTGAGTAGGGAGAACCCACGCTGAATGTGGGAATGACCATCCCATGGTCTGCAGGGCAAAGATTAATGCAAATAGGAAAACAGAGACCAGATGAGTATTAACACTCACGTCTCTCTGCTTCCTGACTGTGTGCATATGACCCACTGACTTACACTCATGTCATCATTGCTTCTTTGCAATTGTCTGTATCAACTCAACATAAAATTAAATAATCCTTTCTTTCATTAATTTTGTCAGATTGGGCTATAACAATAAGAAAAGCAAATAGTTCGCTAATGCATGTGTAACTCCCTGGCAAGGATAGCCATATATATATATATATATATATATATATATATATCTATTAACATGAACAGGACCAGGGAAGCCATTGGAATCAGGCCCGAGGGTATACTGAAGGCCTGTTGGAGATACAGTTCCTAAGCAGAGTGCTTCCAAATGTATGGGAAACAGCTGGTATAGATGGGAAACACTAAGAACACACCAAGAACAAAGAAAAATGAACTAAGTAATCTTTCGAATGGTGCAGTCATCATCATGCCTTTTCTGATGCATCTCACCACTCAGATATCCATGTGTTCTATACTTCTGTTGAATAATTTTAATTCATTTCATGAAACATCAAAAAATTGGAAATCTATCAATAATTCTCAGCAACTGATGGAGTGACCAAGAGGACTGGTGACATTACCAGAGAATTCTCATGAACAGCTGTGATGAAAAAGTGAAGTCTATGCCACAACTAAAAGAAGATGATCATTTTACCTATATGCAACTGCAAGTATCCTAATGTGTGAAATGAGTCCACAAGAATGGATTGAGCGAAAAATGCTTTACTAACTAGGAAAGGAACTGCATTGCTTCTTAATGAACACCCAAGACTTTATGAGCTGGAATCCAGCCAAATGAAAATAAGCTCTTTAGAATAAGCAAATGCATCACCCCAAAGAGAGACTTTGGTGGCACAGCAGCATTCACACTCTACAGCAGTACTAGCATCTGCCATTCGTCATGGTCCCCTGTAGTCCTGCAGATCTCTTCAACATTCAATCTTGATAGACTTATGTAGACTTTGTGCAAGAATCTTAGCAATATGACTTTTCAGTTAAAAACAGGAAATGGAAACTATGTGTCCCACTCTAGTAAAAAAAAAAACATCTAATCCTCGCATGTTGTACAGATTCCAGATTATTATAATATGTAAAAGGCTGAGCACTATACTAGCTAGAGTTTCATTCATCAGAAGTAGGTTGGCCAGAATTAAGTCATGAGTGCCAAGCATGAAAGCCTGAAGAAGTAGCTAGTCTGAAGGTTAAGAAGAAAATCAGACAGGTAAATTATACACAGCAGAATAACTGTATGATTTCTCATTAAGCCCATAATGGCTCCCTTATTAAGGTATCTCTTTCCTTGCTCTCCTCTGCTCTTCCCCCATTGACTTACCTGATCCCCCATGTTCTCTTCCCCCCTCCCATTCTCTCCTCCTGTTTATCCCACCTCCCTCCACCTCCTCCCATGCTCCCAACCCACTTAGGAGATTCCCTTCCCCTTCTCAGGGTCCACGCACATCTCTCCTACTTTGATACATTTCAATTATGTTACAGGAGAACTTATTCTTCCATTTACACAGAACAACAGATTTCTAAAGTTAGGCATCTGTTTTACTGCTATAAGCTAAGAATCCCCCAAATCTGAATTAGAGGTGATATGCTATTTGGAGCATCCATCACACCCTGAGAACTTTCTCTTCTAACTCACTGACTCATTTCACTACATATCTCTTCATCCCCTGTTAAGAAAATGACTGTATTAGCCACCTAAGCATACTAAATCTGATATAGGAATACAGGGGTTCCACACCCTGTTTCTTAAAACTTCCTTTCTATTTTTATATAATATTTTAAAGCATAATAATGGCATTTTCTTGTTTTGTATAGTTTGAATATCTAGCCCAAATTTGTGTTTATTCTGTCTGTGTCTGTTTGTGTGTTTGTGTGTCTGTGTGTCTGTCAGTCTGTCTCTCTCTCTCTCTCTCTCTCTCTCTCTCTCTCTCTCTCTCTCTCTCTCTGTGTGTGTGTGTGTGTGTGTGTGTGTGTGTGTGTGTGTGTGTGTGTGCTATGCATGTGAATATGAGTGTGGGTTCACCATACTTGCAAGTTTGGAGGCATAGTTTAGCATCAGGTGACTTCCTCTACTGCTATCTATCTTATTAATTGAAATACGATCTCTGGCTGATCTTGGAGCTTACCAATTGATAGACCTGCTGGCCAACAAAACCCCACTATCTGCTTTTCTCTACCACCTCTACCTGTCACAAGGTCACAAACAGATTTTATGTGCTACAGATCCAAACCCAAGTCTTCATGCTTATAGATCAAGCACTTTAATCACTCATTTCACCAGCACCTGGGACATATTTTATATCATCTCTCTTGGTTTTATTAAATATAAGTCTTAGTAATATCAAGTATCTCTTTGAGATAATGTACTTAAACACACCAAAAAAAGAGAGAAAAACCCATTGACTTAAAAAGTAAGATTTGCTGGGTGTTGGTGGTGCATGCCTTTAATCCCAGCACTCAGGAGGCAGAGGCAGGCAGATCTCTGTGAGTTCGAGGCCAGCCTGGTCTCCAGAGCGAGTGCCAGGATAGGCTCCAAAGCTACACAGAGAAACCCTGTCTTGAAAAACCAAAAAAAAAGTAAGATTTATGGTGACCTTTATTTATACAGGGTCTGCCTAGAAATTGACTCTTAGTAGCAAAAGTTTCCATAATGTTGATGATAGACAACTTAGAGTGAATGAAGCACCTACATTTTTTTTCTTGAATAGAATTGTTTAGCACGAAAGCTGTTCATTCACACAACTAATAAAACTGTTAAGAATTAAGAGGGTGAACATTTTATCACCACTTTGGTGTTAAGATTCATTGGCATCAATCAACCATGTGAGTCAGAAATAAAATTAAAAGGCTATGTGATACAGGCCAATTTACAATTGGTTGACTATTGCTGCAGATAGTGGATGCTAGAAATCACCTGCACTCCCTAGCAGTGGTGGTCCTTACCTTACCTACATACAGGTAAACCTAAGAGAGAGGGGCTATCCTGCTGCGCAAAGAAATTCAAGATAGTGGTTCTGTCTTTACCTGTTTTTTTTCTCCCATACTTATTTATGTTACACTTAAAGTGATATGTGTGCTTCATACAGATTCCTACCACCCTGCCTAGAAGCAAGTTCCATGCTTCAGAGGAGGCATGATCCAGAAACATGAGGCCATGGAAGCAGGGTTCATGAGTGATATATTTAATAGAACATATGTAGATATTCTCCCAACACTAAATTGGTACTGTAGGTCATGCAGAAAATGTAACTAACAGAACCAAATACCTGAAGTCACTTCCTTGTATCATTGACAGCTGGATAATTTCATTTCTAACCATCAATGCCTTAGTTTGATTTTTAGCAAAAATGATAGAAAATTCTATCTATCACTGTAATAGGATATAAGACAGAATGAGAAAATCACTTCACAAGTACTCAAGTACAACGATGAAATAAAGCCCCACCCCTGCCACAGAGTTGAACAAGCCCAGCTAAAGCACACAGGAGGACTGAGAACTCAGAATGAGCTATTTGCTGATTTTAACAGACTTTCTAGTATTTGTCTCTCCACTTCTCAAATAAATGCTGCCTTTAGCCTAAATCTCTAACAATAAAGAAAGAGGCAGCTCTGTAGAGCAGACAGGAAGCTAGTTCTGACACTGTTCAGACACATGACGCTATTCAGACACATGATAGTTCTGCTTTAGAAAAATCCAGTGAACAGCCCTG